TGTGGATGTCCTGGGGATTTCGCATACTGACCGGGCGCCTCAGCGGGCGGGGCAGCGCCCGTAGCAGCCGATCGATGAGGACTTTCTCCGCTACCTGGTCAGCGGTAGGGGACCCCGCGAGAAGCCACAGGTGAGCCAATCGGACCAGTTGCGTAGCTTGCGCTCTCACTGTCTGCCGTTCATCATAGGTCCATTGATAGAACTGTTGCGCAGCCCCCATGGGAGACAGGCCCACCCTGGCTAGGATTTCGGCTTTGAGCATCATACTTTTCATTCCGGGGTGCCTGCAGGGCATAATAGGTCCGCTGCGCTTCTCTGGTGAGGAAGGGGGCGATGATGCGAGGCCACTCTTCCTGGACCCACCCCTCCCGGGCCGCAATAACCTCAAACGTGTGGAGGTAAGCCTCGATGTCGTCGTTCTCGGTCAACCGGATGAGGTATTGGTGCGCTTTGACCGGCGCTTCCGGGAGGGGCAGGCGCCCCGCCATGCTGGCCTGCAGCTGTTCCACGACCCGGTCAGTATACTCCTGCCGGGCTGCCAGTTGTTCGGTAAACTGCTGCTGGCGGATGACCTCTTCCATGTGTCCGGGGGGGAAGAGAGCGGTTTCTCCTAGAAGCACAAAGATCGTTACAGCAACCTGGCGGTACAAGTCTGTGTCTCAATTCACCTGTAATACCTGCATTCTCCACTATATGTCGCGGGGTGAATGAGAACACAGACTCGGTACTGATAGTAAGAACCCCGGAGGGTGATTTATTGCCCACACACTGATCACACGCGCTCTGAGGAATGTTGCTCGGTGCCCATCTCAACGTGGTGCTCGTGGGGTGAAGTGCCGTGGTGCAGATCCCTCTCCTGGGGTGTCGTCAGAGTCTGTGAATAAGGAGAAACAAGCATTAATGTCACCTGGATCTCTGGGGTGCCCTCCCGCTGGTGTCTCTTCTCCTGGCTTTTATGGCCAGCGGGAACAAGCTCCAGGTGTGCCACTCATCACGCACAGGTGTTGTGCTTCTGTGATCAGTGTGGCAGCGGCGTTTCCAGGGCGACGCTGATCTGGACCCGGGATACTCGCCACTATATATATATATATATATATATATATACATACTGTATATGTATATTTATTTATTTCTGTCATAAATTTATTTATTTTATGATGACTGATCAGCTGATTTGTATATATAGCGGATCAGTGTAGGTCACAGTCATAATCTCTTTTTTTTTTAAATACAAGCACATAAAAATTTTTTCCAAGTTTAGGCATTTCTTCCTTTTTTTTCTTCTACTAATTGTAGTTTGTATTACAATCACATGAAAACTATGAAACTCCAATTAAACTCTCGCAATTAAGACCAAATCACTGGATCACTGTTACTGCATGTCGATAGCCAATATTTGATGCTAAAAGTGGCGTAAATGGTTAATGTGCTGGAATGGATGAATGATGAATTAGCGTGCACATCTGTCTGGAACAGGTGCAGCCACCAATCTCCCATTCTCTCCTTCTCTCTCTTTCTCCTCCAGTGACTGGCTTAGCTACTGATCCTTTCTCTCTTTCTCTGTATGGTTGGCTGATGTATAAAAATTACATATTAGAGCTGTAAAACAGATGTTATTTTTGGTGTAAAGTGTGTTTGACTTGACTCTTCTCAGTGGCTGAGAGCTGCGGTGTGGAGCCCTATCACTTCTGCTGGGAGTTAATGTCTGTCATTCATGTTAAGATATGAAGGGGAATGTGAAATGGCAATACGTCTTGTTCTTAGCTGCCCTGGAGGTTTTGAACTGCCCTGGGGGTCAGCCTAAAAAGACGCTCAGGACAGTTGACAGGCCACTGCTGTGCGTCGTCACGAAAGCTTATCAATTGCACGTGTTTTTAAGCCTTGCCAATTTAAACATTCAAAAGAGTTTAATGCATTGAGATGCGTTGTCTCTTAAAGTGACCGCGCCTAATTTACTAGCTGCTGTTGGTGTCCTTAATGGTAATCCCAGAAAATGAAAGAAAGAAAATCACTCACTGCTCTTGACTGAATTACTTTGTAGTTTTAACAAGAATTAATCCAGAGTCCACCTGACCATGTTTTGCTTACGTGTTTTTTCTTTAATTGCTAATGCAACCTTTTTACACCACAGACTGAACAAAATTAAGCATTGCTTGGTAATTGGTCAACAAAGTATTGATAGTTGTGTAAATATTGTCATACTAACAGTTGTCTGAAGTTTTGGTTTATTGTAATTCATTACATACCTTTCTATCAAAGTTATCTGACATTATCAAGATGAATTTGTTCTGACACAGTTTAACTCTGAGTTCTTGTCATATTTTATTACCATTTTCTAAACTATAGCAAATAAACTGTGATAATGTGAGAAATGTTGAAGGTGTCTGAATAAATTTTGGTTTGACTGTATATTTAATTTTTAAACTGAAGACTATGCAGTGCTATTTTACATTTTAATTATTTGGTTTCTGTACCTGGACACCTACAAACTTGAAAAAAACTTAAACATTGTGTAAATAGCACAAATAAATAAATGGAACGAACATACAAATTAAACAATTTCAAACAGGGCCCACTGGTACAACCTGCACCGGGGCCCTGCAAACCCCAGCTACGGCCCTGTTTGAACTATAAAACTGATTAAATTAATCTAGATGCCTTATTTTAAAGTGGATATGCAGCACAGTTCTATGGTATTCTGGTACTAAAATAATGGCATTATACCAAAAACTGGCATTGCTACAATATCATTAGCAAATTTAAGAACATTATTAATTATGAGATGAATCTCAAATTATTCTTATTCATTATTGAATTGATTGGTAACCCTAGTTTAATTTCATTAGTCGCTCAAGACTGTTTTAGTATTGATTTAGTATCAATGCCAAGGGACCAGGGGCTGATATCATACTAAAGCCAACATTTTTGTATCAGTCGAACCCTTATGCACACACGCTTTCAGAAAATGTTGCAAAATGCATCTATTGATCCACACATAAAAGCTACGTGTCATGTTTGCGTTACATATGGACCTTTCCATTTCATTCAGATATGTTTATAAAGGTCACTCATTGACCTTTGCAATAGTTGTCTGATAATCTATAAAAACGCCTTTCCATCAGGAGTGTGCTACTGCTGTCATACTTGGATTTCTGCTGCAGGAGATTTGTGTTTAAAAGAAAGTGACTTTAATCAGCTAAAGTGCCAATATCCATTTCATCTGGAGAGCACTATCAATCTACCCAATACACTGGAAGAAAGACGCAGTGACCATTAGAACCATTGGGCAGCTGTTCAGAAAATAAACAGAAATGTATAAATTAGTTTATAAAGTTCAATATTTAAGGGGAAAAAAGTGGCATGTTTTCATGCTTGATTTATAATCATCTGAACTGGCTGTATCGGGAAGTTGAAACTTGAAAAGGATGAACTTCACACTTTCACAGTTTCATCCTGAGAGAATCCATACCCGCTGGTTTTGTGGACAGGCAGAGTGAGTTTGCGATGAGTTTGGGAATGTTTGGGATGTGTTGTCTCTGTTCTGGCAGAAGGATAACGTTCCGCTGGGCTCCGGTGTGATGGAATGGTGGTCACTCCATCTGTCAGTAATTAGCTCTGAGCTAGCTTCCACCAGGCGATGACTTCCACACTTCTTTCCCTTAACCCAGACTGCATGAGCAAGGCAACTAGATGCATCTCCCCCGCCTTCCCTCCTTCCCTCCCTCCTTCATTTCACCAGCCTTATGAGTTGACTCTGTTCTCATTTTCATAGAATGGGGCTGCTGGACTAGCAGCCAATGCAGCATTTCACTAGTAAGTTAGTTGGCATTCAGCAGATGCTTTTATCTATGTATTATAGCAACAATCCCTCTGGAACAACCTTCAACCACGAGTTTAAAAATCTGATTGAAAGCTAAAATTGAGTGTTGTGCTTTTTAGTTAATGCCTGTTCCTTTTTATGCTTGTGTACTTTTAAAAGTGGACTAAATAAAACATTACATGAAAGGATCCAAGGCACTTCTTTTAGTCCAAATGTGACCAGCCAAAACAATAATAAAGGCTTTTTAACTTTGTTTTGAAACTTTTTCTCTTAATGTTTAAGACCCAACCAAAGAGCACCTTCTGGGAGTATTATGAGGTCCTTCCAACTGGTAGCATTCCTAAAAACAATAAATACTAAATACATCACACCATGTTCTATGTTCTATAAGTGTATTTCTCAGGTGCACAATTGGGATTGCTAATGAATTTAAACCAACAACCTTTCAGTTACTAGCCTAGATCTTAAACTACTATCCCTCATCACCATATTTACTTTATTAATAGAGTAATTAGCTTCAGGTTTTCTTTCTTTGATGTTCCAAAAAATCAGTAATTGAAGCAAAAGATGTTAAAACAGAAATAAAGGCCTCAAAATTCAGCCAGTATTTGTGATTCCATGTGTTCCCATTAGTCTGCTTGTTTAAGACTGAACTTTATTACCTGCCATTTGACATTTGTGAGGGGACTACAGGATAATATGTTACCAACAAAGAACTTTTCTGGTTTGTTGTTATTTATTTGTTTGAGGCAGCCATGTTGAGGCTTGTTATTCTGCGATCTGCTACCAAAGCTGTCTAGTCGTCACCTGAGCGACTGCCAAGCATCTCGGCTGACTTCCTCCATCCCACCCAGTAAGAGTGTGTGTATGTGTGTGTCAAAATCTATGGGGAAAGAAAAGGTTAGACTGCAACACTGTATTTTATTTCCCTTAACATAAATGAAATACTGTAAATACACAAATATCAGTAGGATCCTAACTGAGTTATAGTTAATTTTATTAGTCTACAGGGAAATCTCTCCCAGTCACTGCTCTCTGTGCGGACATATTTGTGTCTGCCAGGTTAAACTAAACAATACCACATTTTGAAATATATGTTTCTGTATGAATATATTAAAGCATATCATAGAGCTACTGAATAGATTCAAGACCTGAAATTAGTTTGTTTGTCTCTCCGTAGGTAACCTGGGTCGTGTTGACTACATCAGTGAATTTGAGTTTGATCTGTTCATCAGGCCTGACACGTGTAACCCGCGCTTCAGAGTGTGGTTTAACTTCACAGTGGAAAACGTTCGAGAGACTCAGGTAAGCCCAGACCTGCACAGAGACTCCTTACAAAAAATAGCTAATCTAAAATGTTCCTAGAAATGTTCAGCCTTACATAAAGATGTATCCATGTTTCAGAAACTGGCTTTTAAACTAGTGTTTTTTTGTTTTTGTTTTACACTTTATAGTCAGTGAGGGCCTTTGACATACACTACTATTTAAAATTGTCTTTTTGAAAGACATCTCTTATGCTCATCAAGACTACATTTATTTAAAATATACAGTAGATACAGTAAAATTGTGAAATAATTTTCACAATTAAAATAAGTTTAAATTAAAATAACTTTTCTATTTTAGAATATTTTAAAATGGAGTCTTCAATGTCACATGATCCTTCAGAAATCATTTTAATATGCTGATTTGGTTTTCCAGAAACGTCTTACTATTATCAGTGTTGAAAATGGTGTAATGGTGAATTTTGTGGAAACTGTAATACATTTTTTTTTAGGATTCTTTGATTAATTTGTACAGCATTTATTTGAAATAAAATAAATAAAGGTATTAATTTAACAAAAAAAAATCATACTGATCAACTTTTCAATGGTAGTGTAGTTGTGTGAGAAAAAATAAGCTAAACTTTGGTATTTTTTATACTGTTTCATGGCTGTTACATGGCTGTTGTTGTTGTTGTGGTTGTTGTTATTATTATTATTATTATTATTATTATTTGGACCAGCAAAATTTGTCTTTTTAAAAAAAAAAAACATTTTCTCCATTCTTTCTATTTTGTTGGCGCAATGTTGCATCGTGAAACACGTTGTAATGCAAATGACTTTTGATGAAACTGTCTAGAAATTTTAAATGCCATGAAAGATTGAAAGGTATTTGGGGCAGTGAGGTCTGCCTGTCATTATCACATTGATGATATGCCAAGTTTTTCAAGTGTCACCCACAAACTCCCAAAGGCAGACAATTAGCAGCAAAATAAATTCATTCCTTATGCTGACGTGAATCCTCAGCAGATTGGATGACTGATGCTTTAAATGACATCTCAGGCTCCTGGAAGAATCAATATCGCAAATGAATCTTAAATCATGCAGGCTTACATGAATTTAAATCACTTTTTCTGCGGAAGCGTGACGCTCAAGTGCCAGTTCATGCCTGTAATCAATTTACAGAGACCTTGTGGTAGACGCGTCAGGCGCACAGATTGGTTTATTCACAATGTAATTTATGGATGATTGAGTCAAGTTATCTCTCAAATGAATACATTTCTTCTTTTTTCTCACATGGTTTGAAATATCATGTGACAAATCAACAAGTGGCAGCGTTCCCCCGAAGAAACACAATGTGCGCAAGTCAAATTGACAAACTTCACCTTGTCGTCGAGCTTCAAGTCTGTCTCTTTCTTTTTTCCCCCCTCTCCTGTCCTCTTAGCTTGTCACTGTGCAGACAGACAGTATCCACTCGTGAGCTCAGGACATTGTCATTGGTGGAGAGGAGGAGTCACATGCCACAGTGATATGTGGGAACAGAGGGCGTGTCCGCCGGACAGGCCAGCTGGCTGGGCCGGGCTGCAGTTGTTTAGTTTTGTTAACGCCGGTCGAAGCCTCATCACGGCTGTCATTTTTGTTTAATAGCTAGAGGACGGTTTACACTAAGAAAGGAGGGGCAGAAGGAGGACACGCACGCTATCTTACTGATCTTAGATACCTACATGCAAGGATTGCACACACCGAGGATGATATGAGGAGGGACGGAGCTGTTATTAATAGGAAGTGCTTTACAAAGAAATATAAAGACCGACAAAATATACCGTGCGAGAGAGAGACTAGATGAAAATGTGGGATGCTGTTGCCATCTCCTGTAGCCTGGCTCAATCAGCCCATCTCCCTGCAGTGCTGTAGTCAGCGCTAATCAAATTTTATGGGCAAGAGATGAATGGAAGCCCTAGTCCAGGAGTCTGATCGATTTTAGGGCCAGATACCACTCTGCATCCTGCGCCAACAGGATATTTGCTGCTATGGCAAAAAAGAGAAAGATCAGGAGGGGAAGAAAACACACACACACCATACACGCTACAGGTGGCAAAAGAGAAACATTTACACTATTAGCTTCGGAGGTGCTTTGTTGATGCTGACTCCACCCTCCCCACTCTCTCCCGCTGTCACCACCTTGCCCTCTGTCTCCGTAATCTTTTCTTCATCAATCCAATTTCCGTTTAAAATGAGGACTAGTGTGAATTTAATCTACTTCAGTGGGAGGAGGTGGGGGCGGTCGGTTGGTTTAGCAGAATGGAGTTTGTTTGGTAAGGGTCGTCTGTGAGAGAGAGACGACTGCTTTATTTTATTATTATTTTTTTATTTAAAAAAGGAGAATAAGAACACAAATGTTAAGCTGAATAGCAGAATATTTAAATAAAAGTGTACTGATCTGGCCAGCTCTGCGCTAAAGAGATATCAGGCCAGGCACAGAGAAGTTGACGAGTGTTTTATTCTCTCTTTGCTAAAGAACGGGAATAGGAAGCAGTGAAAGTGTGTAATACTGAAGCTGAGATGACCATTTTGAAGTAAATGTAAGCTGGTGAAACAGATTTGGTCATCTCAATCAGCTTAGCGGCTTTGTGGAAATTGGCTGCAGCATTTTTTTTTTATGACGGATGGATGTCTTTTTCCTTTTCATCTCCACCCAAAAAATCTGTTACCTTAGAACCTGGACTCCCTCCTTGTCGTTGAGCTGAGGTTAATTATTTTGCGATGGGATGGAGTTTGGGGCTTCTGTTTAATCAACGACTGTAATTGTGTGTGTGTGTGTGTGTGGTGTCGTCATGAAGCTGCTTTAATGTGCATTCAAAATCTGTATTATACTGGCTCCTGTGTTGGAGAAAAAATGCTTTAGCAGATTTAATTGTCTTTGAAGAGGATGGTCATATTTGCAAGAGAACACCTAGGTTTGATCTAAAGATGTGATTATGATGCTATAGTCAATGCATAGGCATTTTTAATCAGTGTTATTTCTCACTCTGTTTTTATACTTGATATTTATGGAAATTTACATCATCTGTGATTTTGATCTGGGCATTCATAATGTTCATATCCATGATTTATAATGTATAGTTGTGAATGATGAAGCGGGTTTTATTAATTGCTTGGATTGTTTTATGCTTGTTTATATTCAGTGTAGAACTACAAACCCTATAAACACTGTTGATAGCTTGAAGGATGTGAGTTTATGTTTGATTTTGTGTAATGCTTTAAAATTTCTAATTTTCTTTGTGGCCTTTTTGGCACTTTTATTGAAAGGTATAGTAGAGAGAGGACAGGAAAATATTGGGAGATAAAAAGCAAACTGGAAATGATGTAGGACTTAAGCACCAAGGCTTAACATTTTTGTAATATATTTGCATTTACTTTCCTCTCCTTTCCTTTCCTTTCCTTTCTTTTTCAAATAATTTTTTGTTACTTTCTGTTAAAAGTGAATATTTCCACATAATCATAAAAAGGTACATTGTGAAGCAAGATGTGAACCAATATCACCTGCATGAGTGCCAAGGCTCAAACATATGGGACACATTTTCATTTTCATTGACTTTTAAAAGCAAAGATTCTTGATCACACCTGATCATAGACAAAAGGACCTTCTGAGTCATTTGTATGATGTTCCTAATTAATGTCATTAAGTATGTGTTTTTTCCCCTCCATGCTCTGTACGAGAGTCAAAGACTGCTATTAGCTCATCAGAGTGACGGCAGCGCAGTGTAAACATTTTGACGTCTTGTATCTGCACAAAGAAAGGAAAAGACAGAACAGAGAAAGGAGAGATTGAGATGGGAGTAGAGATCCTGGCCCATCCGTGAGTGCTGTAATGGATGAGATGCATATTGATTTTTCTGCTGGAGTGGAGGGAGACTGGGTGGAGCAGGCGTGTGCTTGTATTAACAGTAGCATTAGCATGAGTTTGTGCAACAGCATCAATGTGTGTCTATGTGAGTGTGTGAATGTGATGGTGTCTGTGTATGTATGTGTGTGTGTGTGTGTGAGTGAGAGAGATTTGCGGGAATGGGCGTGTGCTGAGTGATCTTGGCTGTGTGTTCTGGGAAGGCTGCTGGAGGTTGTGCTGTGTAATATCAGCTCTTTGGCACAGCCCGGCCTCTGCATCTGACTCTGTATACCTGCATAATGGACTCTTATCGCGCACGCACACACACGCGCACACACACACACACACACACACACACACACACACACACACACATGCAATACGTTGTGTTCATACGGGGACATTTAACCCTTCTGTTGTCCTTCAGACTGGACTGAGGCACATGATGGGAGGGGTAATGAATGTCTGCAGCACTCTCTAGAGGAATGGTGCTAGATCTGTGTGGCCAAGGGCGGTGCCATTCATGTATCCTTGTGTAAGTGTGTATGCGGACATGTGTATCTGATATTGATGTGTAGGATTAGAGGGCAACCGATACAGTCTCCTGACATATGCAAATATGAGAGCATGAAACATGTCGCATCTAGGAGTAGGTGGAATGACCAAAATGGTCAAAGATAATTTTAATTTTAATTTTTTGCTGTAACATTCAGTCATTTTCAATGAACATTATTTGAATGGATTTGCCAACTGGCTATAGCATTACAAGACCGGTACAAAGAAAGCAAAATAGTAAATAATAGATTGTAAAATGATTCTAATAGATTTCATAGAGGTTATGTTTGTGTCTTCCAAATGATAAAACCCACTCACTATGAAAGACATTACATTGCGGAAGTTAAATGTGTTGCATGCTGTCTTTAATAACTCATACTACGATAAAGACAGCTAAACAACAAACCAAAAAGAACATTATTTCAACTCACGTTTGTTCTGTTCACTTTCCTCTAGAGTCTTTCTGTGTATTGGCTGGTATTTTCTTCTTGGTCTGTGTGTGGAAATGCTTTTAAGTCATTTCCCTGTCATCTCTCTGCCCTCCGTTTTTGAGGTTTCTCCAGGGGGGGGGGGGGGGGAAGGGGGGAAAAGATTCCTAGGATGGG